TTGATACCAGATCCTTGGCGGGAAGGTCCGGCATCATCGCCTCCCGCCTGAGCCTGAATTGAAGAATGAGTCGACCTGCCCTCTGCTGGTTCGACTTGAGTTGTAGGCAGGGCATCCGCGCTCGCATCTTGCATGGCGTCTAGACACTTCTCTAAAAAAGGTTGTACAGCTTCCCACAAATCCATTATTTTTTTTATGTTTTTACGGACTCTACTAAAGCTAGCTCCTACTCCTGCTCCTCCTTCATATCCTCGTTAGTTGGTCCTTTTGACGCTTAGAAGAGTGAGAAATTCTGCCCCGGATTCCTTTTCTCTTGGGCATCTCTTCGTGTACTGATTCTTTTTGATCTTGTACTTGTACCAGCGGATGTGCGTACTAACGCAACAAGCAACGGAATTAGCGCCCGTTAGCGAAAGCTAACGTTTAGTAAAGGCGTTAGTCACGAACAAGCCAGCTACGAATAAAGTCGCTCGTTAGCGAAAGCCCCCACTTAGTTTAAGGCGTTAGTACGAACAAGCCCGCTACGAATAAAGGCGCCCGTTAGCGAAAGCCCCCACTTAGTTTAAGGCGTTAGTCACGAACAAGCAACGGAATTAGCGCCCGTTAGCGAAAGCCCCCACTTAGTTTAAGGCGTTAGTACGAACAAGCAACGGATGAGCGCTCTAGCGCGAAAGCCCCCACTTAGTTTAAGGCGTTAGTCACGCGCAGCCGTTTTCTTGCTGCTTTAGTTGGATTGCTGCTTTAGTTGGATTGCTGCTTTAGTTGGATTGCTGCTTTAGTTGGATTGCTGCTTTAGTTGGATTGCTGCTTTAGTTGGATTGCTGCTTTAGTTGGATTGCTGCTTTAGTTGGATTGCTGCTTTAGTTGGATTGCCCCGTTTTCTTGCTCGTTGCTTGTTTAGTACACTTCACACCAACCCAATCTCACCTAACAAGGTGTGCACTACATTCGATCAATCCATGAACTAGAAACTTATCCACCCTCTCTCTGCTAAGAGCAGCTTTCTTCTCTTACTTATGATATTTCTAGAACACACACGAATGTGAGCTCGGAAGGAGATTCACTACCTAAATCTGTGTATGTACGAGCCTCGTTAATGAAAGAGAGAAGAAGAGCCCCAAGCCGTTTGCCCGAAGGCTGAATGTCCAACAAAGGAAAAAGAGAAAAAAGGGTATTGTACTAAGGGTCTAAAAAGGGTCTTAACCTAGCTCCCGAGCCCTTCAAGAAAGCTATGAAAGAAAGCTTAGGCAAAAGCCACTCTCAGAGATCAGAGTAACAAAAGAGGAAAGCATATGACGTAAAAGACAAGCTTACCTCGATCTGTCATTACATATGATATATCGAGAGTTCAAGACCATAACGTAATTCATTTAGAGAATGCCGATGAGAAAGTAGATCTGGTTCCGAGATATGGAAAGCTGTGAATACAGTTAGTGAAGCTAGACCGGGAAGTGGGGTATCCCCGGAAAAGAGGTCGGCCTTAAGTTCTAGCTTAGATAGCTTAGACTGAGCTTTGCTTTCTGAAAGAGTTATTTTTTCGTTATTAGAGAGAAGCAGAAGCGGAGCACTCGCGGCACACTTACTATACCCATTCGAGAAGAAAGTAGAGTTCCTATTCACCGCTACCCCTGAGTGAACAGTCTTTTCAACAAAAGAGACAACAGCTTCTCCCTCGGGCTCTCTCTCCTGAGCTTGAAATAGGGAGGCTGGGCTAGGTGTAAAAGGCTTAGAAAGCTCCATATCAACATACATTAAAAAAGTGAGATTAGATCGGAAGTCATCTTTTTTCCAACCAACTTGCTCAAACGTAGATAAACGACTCCAGGGATTCTCTTTCCTCGGTATGCTAGAAAGAAGTTAGGAGGAGGGTTGTTTCAAGCTACGAAGTCGTTTTTGTGTTGAATTGGACCTGGTAGTGTCAACCTATCTTCGTTGAATAGAAGAAAACAAACCCGAGGTAGTCCCCCTACTGGGCATAGGTGCAAATGATTGGATGGCCCACTCTGGACCCCTATCTTAGCGCGCTGCTCTGCTGCTTTGTTTGCAGCACTTCGCTCGTAGTTGAGAAGATTGAATCTGGGTGCAACTTGATTCGTTGGAACCAGTGTGTTCATATTCCGAGTAGGATTCGAAAGGACGTATCTCATGGAACAGAATCCGCTTCTAGAGGGTCTCGTGCGCCCGACAAAAGAGGGCTTTGCCAGAAATACTATGAATCATCGGGTAGGTTTTATCCTAAAGATTTTGAATAAAGGACGGAGGTTGGGTAAAGGGAAGAACAGCGATTGGCAGACTAGACTAAGTGTCCACTCACTACCTTTAGAGAAAAATAAGATTTTTGCTGCTAAGAACAAATTTATCCAAAACAGTTAGCTAACAGCGATTCAAACGGATTAGCTAATCGTTCTCCCAATGACCTTTTCGATCGGGTCACTGGATTGATTTTCAAACAAGGTCTTTTCCACTCGTGCTAAACACACGATTCCGGAAATCCTCAATCCATACATTTACCCATCGATCAGACCATAAGCTTCTGGGCGATACTGTGCTTCAAACATGCGGTCTTCACCAATATAGTATCGAAGGCTTGAGTTACGTCCCTGGAGTCACTCTGCCCGGAGACTCCTACCCTTCTCTTATATTATCTTATAAGCCTAACCTTTCTTATTTAGACCTCTTCCCGGCTTTATATTAAGGTTTCGTATAAGAGAGATCCCCTCCCAGACACTGTAATCGTGATCTCTGATGTTGGTATTGGCGCTTTCTCATAACTTTCAGCTACCCTAATCGGTTCCTACATTTATTAGACGTTGTAAAGGTGCGAGTTGTCTCAGAGGCCGAAAGTAACGGGAGGATATATCGATAGGATACCCCAGCCGAAGGAAGTGTTCTATTCCCGGTGGTCCAATCAAAACCAGTTGTTTATTAATCTTGGGCACAACTCTGGATCCATATCCATCAGTCTCTTCCAACAAGCCTGGTTCAATACCAGCTGTACTGGTTGTCTCACTGCGTGCACTTAAAACAAAGCCAATTCCACTTGGGAAGATCAACCCCTCCATATTCTTATTATGGTCGCTCGTTTTCAAGTGCTTTTTATTGAACCATCCGGTATGTTTATAACTTTCAAATTGAACTGGTAGTTCATGTATTGTAGACCAGGCACGGAGCGTACCATTGGACCTGTTCTGGAACTCCGTTATTCAAGTAAAGAAATGGGGCGGTTGCTTGCTTTTCTCTTTCCCTTTAGCTTGGGACTTATTAGTAGTATGAATCCCATCTATTGATTCCCTTTCCTTCGACACATATGCATAGGGCATTCCTCTTGACTCCCAAAAGCTTCTCAAAGAGCTCCTGAGACTAGTGAAAGAATTTCATTGCCTTGAACCCCCTCCTTCTTGCAAACAACTTCTTCTTCCCAACCATTAGACCGGGAAGCTAGCTCTAACCCCATCCCATCCTCGGGTATCCTTCCATTCCTGGCTGTCGTAACAACCGCTTCGTACTCCTAAGGATCTCTATGCCACTTGTGATTCCCAGCCAAAGAGGCGCAATGCAAAGGTTTCTTTTATCGGCCGATTCCACTGCCGTAGGGCTCTCTTGGAATTGGAAAGTCATCCGATCCTTTCCTTAGCCTAGGAATTCACTTTCTCCAGAACCTAAAAGGTGCCCAAAAATATAGAGCCAAAAGTGGGAGTCTTATATCAGTTTAGTACTCTCCGTTCTCGCTTTCTTCAACAGTAAGAGAAGGACGACTTACACCATCCGGGGACAGGAAGCCTCTGAACCTTTATAACAGCTGATTCCATAGCTGCGGATTCCTTTTCCTATTCTTCCGCCGCTTCTACAGTTGTGATTGCGCTTGAACTAATAGAAATAGAAGCAGGGGCCTATCGCTTTCTTTCATCTTTCTCTTCCTGTAGCGGATGCTAGGCGCTCTCAAGAGCTCTTATAGAGTCATATGAATGTGCAGCTCCTTCTTCTATCGACGCAGCTCCTGAGACTAGTGCTACTCCTAGTCTCCACAGAAAACTTGCTACCGCTATTTAGTCCACAATTACTTTAGCCTTCGTTTTAACAGCAAGAGTACCTTGCGGGGATATCTTCTCCTATTGATTCAATTCCTGCAAACCTCAAAACATCTCCTTCTCTGTGCGCTCACTCCATTCCTCAGCAAAGCAATCCGGTCGGTGCGGGCAAGGCAGTACTGGTACTCAATCGATCTTGCTCTAGCCGAAAGCGGCTTCACGGAAAGGAAAAGTCAACCTTCCCTATAGTGCTTTCTCGAGGGGCCAGATATGATCTTGCCAAAAGGTGCGGAAAAAGCAGCTTCACGCTCTACTTTAGACTACTTTCCTTTTCCAGGCAATTGGTTTAGCTAACCCTTATTATATTATACGCATCTATTGGGCAAAGAAGCATCGCTCCTTCCGGGCTTTATTCCACAGTTTCGTCTTTCCGATCATTCGACTAAGGGGAGAAGGGGTGGATGAGGCTTAGTAGATTCGGAAGAGAATTCTAATCCATATCTGATCTTTCCCGGAAAAGACTTTGGCTTCTTGAATAGGCCAGATTCCACTTGTCGTGAGAAAGAGGATGAAAGGAACGCTTATTGGTTTCGTTTCGTAGCCCCTCCTGCCGCAGTGTGCACTAAGTCGACAGCTTCTTTGTCGAAATGAGGAATCGGAATCCCTTCACTTAGTAGCTTTAAAAAGGAAGTCAGGTTTTGCATTCTATAGAATGCCCAGAATCGGTTGTGAAAGAATGGCTTTTGTTCCAATCATCCGCTGCGCCCAGTAGTTCCTTTTCATCGTCTGCGAGACTTTTAGTTAAATGAAAGGGTCCAAAAAGAGCTCGAAAGGAGTCCTTCGTAGTGAGAGAGTGAGTTCCGGTCCGACACGAGGTGAGGGATAGTCTTAGCTGCGAGGCCCCGTACTAAATATGATAACAGGGATGTAAGAGGAGTATGGAGTTGGTGCACATAGTAATGCCAGGGTCTCGAATGCAAAACTTGGACTTGAAGGGAAGGAAGGCTTCCCCAGTCGCTCTAGTTGATGCTTACTTTCTTTGGTGTACAGGGAATTCAATAACAGAAGTGGAAGTGCGAAAAAGGCATATCGGCTAAGGCCTAGTTCCTCTTCAAAGGTAGGCAAAGATTGAATAGAATCTTATCCTTTCTCAGCGGGATCCTATCTTCGCATGAAAAAAGTAAAGTAAGCAGTCAAGAATGAATCTGTCTCAGATCTGGCTTTCACAGGCTAAATGCCGTATGTTGACAGACCTTTAGAAGCTAACTGATCTTTAGGCTATGCTATGACTGCCTCGGATCTTACTAAACCCAGGGAATCCGTTCCTCTTCTCCCGTCTGCCTAAAAGGAAGAAGCCTAAGCAGCAATCTCAAATGTTTACTCAGTCAGCTATCTACACCGGTAAGTTAGGTATTTCCTTCGTCTCGTCTAAGTAGTCTAGTAAGGAAGGCGAAAGGAAGAAGTCTTCTTTCGTTCCAGATATTGATAAGCTGGTGATTCCGTTCTTGCAATCAAGTCCGGAGAAGTCATTCCATTTAGTTAGACGGGGAAGAGATATCTTTCTATTGTTGTAGTTACCAAAGCCCGTACTTAGAAGTCTAAAGTCAGAAAGCAAGTAAAGTCTTGAAGTATAGGCATAAGCCTTAAAGAATCACAGGCAGGGGGACAGACGGTTAGAAAGCTACAAACAATGCTTATTTCCTTCCTTGCTTCCCCTGGAAGTCAGAACCCGAGCTAGTACTATGATTTAGTCTAATACATTCCCGACCTCCGCTAGCATCCTATATCTATTTAGTTAGGAAAGCATTGGGACCAGAGACATAGAAGCTGGATAAAAGAACTCTAAGTCATAACAAGAAGGAGTTGGGGGCGCGCAGAGCACCTAATCAAGTTTGTTAAATCAATCGGACAACCGTAACTAATAAGATAAAGAAAGAAAAGAACCATTTGGAGAAACCAAGGTAGTCAAAATCTCTTACTTCGGACAAGCGTAACGAATAAGATCAACCAATCAAAGAGACTTCCATTCGATCCTTGCCTCTTGCTTAATAGAATTCATGCTTTCAATCTTTGTCTGTCATCCTACGTCATTTCATGTCTTCAGTCAATCTTACTGACTTCCCTGGCTTTATACTTTCAGACTTCCGCCCAGATCAGATGAAGTAAGGGCTTGAACAACAATCTTTGAATATGAGATTGAGGCAGAGGCTTATTTGTTCCCTGATTTAAGGGGAATAGTGGAGATATCAGGGATATACTTCCTAAACAATAGAGGCACTTTATTAAGTATCTCTACTGAGGCCATCGCAACCTTTCTAAGGTCCGATGGAGGGGACAGTATAGATTGGAAGGTCTCCTTCGACACTGGCTTGGCTAGCTTTATAAGCTTGGCCATAGTAAATGCCGAAAGGTAGATCTTAACAACTACATCTGCCCTATCATCCTGCCTTCTTGTAAGTTTTCGATGGAATGGCGCGAAATCCATCATTGGCAAAACAATTGAAAGAAGGCATGGACCTTCTCATTGAGGTTCTTTGTTTTTCTTCTTTATGTCGTCGGCTTTCACCATGTGCTAGGAATCCAGTTGTGGATGGATTGGGGAATTCCTCACAAACTAATCCTCGGTTGGAAGGGAATTAGTCTAACTCCAATTTTGGGAGTCAGCC